CTTAACACTTTGAATATATTTTCCCATTCTTTCCTTGCTTGTATTGTTTCTGATGAGAGGTCTGCTGTTAGTCTAATGGGATATCCTTTGTAGGTACCTTGCTGTTTCTCTCTTGCCAATCTTAGTATCTTGTCTTTGTCTGTGGTTTTGGTCAACATGGCTATAATGTGTCTTGGAGAAGATCTTCTTGGGTCGATTCTATTTGGGGTCCTTTGTATTTCTTGAGATTGGATCTTTGAGTGCCTCTTTAGGTTTGGAAAGTTTTCTTGCAGGATTTCATGGAATAGATTATCAATGCCCTTATCAGTCTCTTTGCCTTCTGGGATGCCAATTACCCAGATGTTTGGATGTTTGATAGTATCTAGTATTTCTCATATATTATTCTCAAATTTTTGGGCAATTTTCTTAGTCTTTGCGGTGGATTTTCCTAGGCCAGCAATATTCTTTTCTACATCTGAGATTCTATTTTCTGTATGATTTAGTCTGCTTTTAATACTTTCAAGGGAGATTTTGACTTCCTGTATTATAGTCTTTGTCTCTAACAATCCCATTTGATTTTTTTTGTAAATTGTGTAATTCCTATTTCAGATCTTGCAAGAATTTCCTCACCTCCTTGGCACTCATCAGCTCTTTTCTCCTTTCTCTTCTGCAGTTCATTGTCTCTCTTCTCTTCCATTTCTGTTAGCTTCACCATTATGAATGTTCTAAATTTTTTATCAGACATATCCATGATTTCCGCTGAATTGTCTGTGGATGAAGAGGAGTCATTCTTTTCCCTTGGGGAGAGGTATTTTCTTGCTTTCCCATATTTCTTGTGGTCCTGTGGTGATTTCTAGTCATCTGATGGAAAAGTGTGTTTCTTCCCAAACTTGAACTTCAATCTGAGCATCTAGGAGCATGCAGAAAAGAAAACAGAGAGAGAGAAACAACAGCAACAAAACAACCAAGAAACAGAGAAAAAGACAAGAAAAACTAAAGAAAAACACTTAAAAATTGTTGTCTTTTTAAACTTGATGCAAAGTCTTCAATGTAATATTTTCAAACCAAATTCAACAAATCAAAAAGATCATACAATTTTTTCCAGGTGAAAATTTCCCCTTGCATATAAGTCTGGTTCAACATGTGCAAATCAATAAATGTTATAAATCACTTTAATACAATGAAAGATAAACACTACATGGTCATCTCAATAGATGTAGAAAAAGCACCTGACAAATTCAGGATCCTTTCTTGATAAAAACTTGTAATACCTTAGGCATAGAAGAAAAGTTCTTCAATATAATAAAGGTCACTCATGATAAAGCACACATAACATCATAATAAATAGAGAATAATTGAAATATTTTCCAAAAATATCCAGTAAAGATATGGATGCCCACTCTCACTACTTGTATTTAATATAGTACAGGTAATATGAGAATGAACAATCTTCAGAAAAAAATAAATGGTGCCCTGAAAACAGATAATCATAGAAAATAAGATAATGAAATGAAGTTTGTTTTGGATCTGGCAGTTTCCTACCATTAAAGTAAATAAAATACATTATTTTAACCATAAAAAGGCACCCAAGTAACACAAAAGAAGTAAAATTATCTCTATTTGCAGATGGCATTATTATATATGTAGAAAACACCAAACATTACACACACAGACACACACACACACACACACACTTTAGAACAAAGAATAAAATTAGTAGAGTTGCCAATACAAAACCAACATACAAAAATCAGTAGCAGTTCTGTGCACAAATAACAATTTAGTTGAAAAAAATCAAGAAAAAATATTTACAATAACACAAATTAAAATTTGTGGAAATAAATTTAATAAAGATTTGTACACTAGAAATTTTAAAGCATTTATAAATGAAATGAGAGGAATGGACCTATAATGCAGAAGTTAAGGGAACAGAATCCACTAGCTGATTGCAGTTCAAATCCCAGTCTGGTGGTTTGAAAAAATATGTCAGATGTGTATACCAGTAAGACAAAAGTCAAGAGGAGAAGGAGGAATGGAGAAAAAGGGACTATGACCATGACCAATGGGAGATGAAGGGTTGTTTGTTCTATTTCACTCTCTGGCAAGTGCACACACCCTCTGACAATTTTTAAAAAGCAGTAGTTAAAACTGAAGAATACACAAAAATGAGATCCTGTATTCATGGATGAAAAGAATTAACATTGTTAAGATGTCCATATTACCCAAAGCAATATAAAGATTTAACACAAAACCTATTAAAATTCAAGTGGCAATGTTTTCTAGAAAAACAAATTTTTAAGTTTGCATGGAATTATACAAAACCCTGAACAACTGAAGTAGTACTCAGAAAGGAAAACAAAGTTGGAGGTATTGCACTTAGTGATTTTAAATTATATTACAGTGCTTGTTTTGGCAGAACATATAGTAAAATTGGAACAATATAGAGAAGATGAGCAGGGTCCCTAGGCAAGCATGCTATACAAATTCATGAAGTATTCTAGATTAAAAAAAAATAGTAGTAATTCAAAAATTATATCACAAAGCTATAGTAATCAAAGCAGTATGGCACTGGCATAGAAACAGAAACAGAAACCAGTGGAACAGAAGAGAGAGCCCAGAAATAAATTCAAACACACAGGTCAACTAATTTTCAGTGAGGGTACCAAATAGACAATGGGAAAGGAGAGTCTTTAAAAAAATGGTGCTTGAGAAACTGAATTTCCACGTTAAAGAACAAAATTGGGCATTTATCTTACACCATACACAGAAATCAACTTGAAATAGATTTTTAAAAATCCTAAATACAAGATCTGAAACCATAAAACTCCTAGAAGGAGACACAGGTGAAAACTCCACAACATTGGCATTGGCAATGATTTTTTGGATATTACATGAAAAGCTCAAACTAAGAAAGCAAAATAACAAAGTAAATGGGATTATATAGAAGTAAAAACTTCTGCACATCAAAGAAGATAGTGAAAAACATGTATACTGGGAAACAACTATTTGAAAACCACCTATCTGATAAGGAATTAATAACCCAATTATAGAAAGAACTTTTACAACCCCACAGCAACAAACAAATAACTATTAGAAATAGGCAGAAGACCAGAAGACTTGAGCTTGATCTTGACAGGCCTGCATCTTCAGCCCCCACTGGGAGTAACTTTGAACTTTCAATACCCCAGTGCCCAGTACTGTAGTATCCTGAACTCATCCCACCCACAAGGAGACTTGGGTCTGGCCTTGAAAGGCCTTCTCCCATGAGCGCACCCTCAGGCTCTGGGAGTACCTGTGGAACTTTTAGCACACCAGACCCCATGCTGAGCTAGGTGCAGCATGCAACTTGATCATCTTCACTAAGTTGTAACTCCTTAGCTTGTTCTCACCTTATCAAGAACTGAAAATTTGGTAGAGGAGTCAAGCACCTGAAGTTACCTATAACTGCTCTGATCTCAGAGACACAACCTCCAACACAAACATACCTGGGGTTCTAGCCCAACACCTAGCAAAGTGGAGAATCCATGTGCATCTGAGGTTGGCCCAGTCATGCCACTTTAATTGGAAGTCTCTGCCCAAACCTCTCCTTCTGGCCCAATACCTAGTGATGCGAAAGTAGAGAGGTTTTTGTTGTCTTTCTGTCTCTGTCTCTCTCCCTCTCACTTTATCTCTCAAAATTTTTTCTTTTTATATATGTGTTTTAAAATCTTTAAATAGTGTCTCTTGTTCTCAAAATTTTTTCTTTTTATATATGTGTTTTTAAATCTTTAAATACTGTCTCTTGTTTCTGACCTCTTCTTTCCCTTGCTAATTTCAGAAGCAATGTGCATCTGAGGTGGGCCCATTCATGCCCATTTAACCAACACCTAGTGAACTAGAGGTAGGAGCATCTCTGTCTTTTTTCTGTCTCTGTCTCTCTTTTTACATACACATGTGTTTTTTCACTTTGTATTGTTTTTTTGTCTTTTTTCCTTTTTTTCTTTTCTTTTAACTGACTTTCTCACTTTGTTTCTCAGCTTCCATACATTGAGTGTCTAGAGGGGTCTAGGTGCACATTAGAGAAACATCTGAATAGTTTTAGGGTCCTAGTAAACCTCAACATCCACTGAAATGTTAAAGAAACTCATCCTCATATCTGAATCCCAATCTCTGTGAAAACTACATTGCAAAACAGAGTAGTAGAGGAGAAATAGGCATAGAACTACCTCACAGTTAAGTGAAGTTTATGACATGACAGTAGCAGAAATCTCCAAATTAGCTGAGCACAAATATGCCATCAATTGATGGAAAATCAGAGAAGGGAGACTGCACGGTGAGCAGCAGTGGTGAGCCAGGCTCATCTCCTCCCATACATCTCTCAATTCTCAACTGAAACCCTGTCACTCAGCCCAGGTGCTAGAAACTGTGAGGCCTTTGAAATATCCAGTTCCATCATCAAAAGTGCAGATAACTTGATAAGGATCAGAGAAATGGAACTACAGAAATATTGCAGGTCATCTCCTCTTGCACATCTATAACACTCAGAATTAACTCCAAGAAAGTACAAAGTAATGTATAATCTATCAGATTATTATCACAAGAAATATGGGAAACCAAAAAAAAGGAAAAATCTCTCCCCCAAGGGGAAAGAATAGCCCTTCATCATCCACAGACAGTACAATGGGACTTGTAGCCATGTCAGACAAAGGATTTAGAATATTTATAGTGACAAAGGTAAAAGAGATACAAGAGAAAAGATAAAAACTCCAGAAGATGCATAAGAAAAGAGACAATGAGTTCCAAGAGGTGAGGACGTTCTTGTGTGATCTGAAAGAGAAAAATCACAACATAAAAGAGAATCAAACAGATCTGTTAGAAATGAAGGCTATAATACAGGAAATCAAAACCTCCCTTGAAAGTATTAAAAGCAGATTCAATCATGCAGAAGATTGAATATCAGATTAGAAGACAGAACCTCCAGCCTAGAAAAATTCATGATGAAGACTGAGAAAATAACCCCCCAATATAAGAATAATATACAAGTAATACTATATACCATTAGATGCCCTAACATCTGGATAATTGGTATCTTAGAGGGTGAAAAAGCTAATCAGGGCATTGATAATCTATTCCATGAAATCCTGGAAGAAAACTTCCCAAATCTAGAGAGGCATTCAAATATCCAGACCCAGGTAATACAAAGGACTCCACTTCAGAATCAACTCAAGAAGATCTTCCCCAAGACACATTATAGCCAGATTGACAATAATCACAGAAGACAAGATACTAAAATTGGCAAGAGAGAAACATCATTTCTTTCAAGGGTTATCTCATCAAGCTAACATCGGATCTTTCATTGGAAACAATGCAAGCATGGAAAGAATGGGAAAATATATTCAGAGTGATGAGTGAAAAACAGTTTCAACCAAGAATACTATATCTGGCAAGATTATCCTTCATATGGGAAGAAAAGCCCAAAACATTCTCAGATGAACAAAACCTGAAGGAATTTAACAACTCCAGGCCAGCTCTTCAGGATGTTTGGACAGAAGTACTATACCAGTAAACTAGAGACAGACAGAAATGAAAGAACAAAAAATGACCAAGAAAAGTCCAACTTAATGATAGAGACAAGTTCAGAAATATCAATAAAAATGTTGAATGTTAATGTCCAAGATTTAAACAGAAAGACCAGATCACAGTAACACTGCAAATTCAGCAAAAGAGAGATTACATAAGGCTGAACTGGTCAAATATAATTCTATGACTTTTGTCTAAAATATTACTGATTTTCTTTTATGATGTGTCTTCCACTTTTGGGGAGTTCGGTTTTCTTTTGAGTTGTTGATAGTCAGCAGTTTGTTAAAAACAATTTTTTTAAAGAATTATTTTAGCCCTCCTTCCAGCCCAACACACAGTGAAAAGCCAGAATCCATGTGCATTTGATGTGGGCCTATCCCTGCTGCTTTAATCAGAAAAAGCCTCTGCCCTGAATCCCTCCTTCCAGACCAACACCCAGCGAAAAGCCAGAAGATAGGAAGTAACATGTAACTTTTCAGATGACCAGAAAACACCACCACAGAGGCACAAGAAATATGGGAAATCAAGAAATTACATCTTCCCCAACTGGAAACAAGAGCCCTTCATCATCTACAGACAGTATAATGGAACTCGTGAAAATGTCAGATAAAGAATTTAGGATATTCATAGTGACAAGGCTAACAGAGATGCAAGAGAAGAGAAGCAATGAACTCAAGAAAACACAGGAGAAAAGAGACAATGAGTTCTAGGAGGTAGGGAGGTTCTTCCATGATCTGAAAGAGGAAATACACATCATAAAAGAAAAAAAAAAAGAATCACATGAAACTGTTAGAGATGAAGGCTGTAATACAGGAAATAAAAACCTCCCTTGAAAGTATTAAAAGTAGCTTTGATCATGCAGAATATTGAATCTTAGATGTAGAAGATAGAACCTCTGACCTAGAAAAATTCACAAAAATGACTGGGAAAATAACTTGCAAAATGAGAATAATATATTAGTAATACTAGATACTATTAGACACCCAAACATCTGGATAATTGGTATCCCTGAAGGTGAAGCAACTAATCAGGGCATTGATAATCTATTCCATGAAATTCTGGAAGAAAACTTTTCAAACCTAGAGAGGCATTCAAATAGCCAGACCCAAGAAATACAAAGGATCACACATAGAATCAATCCAAGAAGAGTTTCTCCATGACACATCATAGCCAGATTGAACAAAACCACAGAGACAAGATACTAAAACTGGCAAGAGAGAAACATCAAGTTACCTACAAAAGATATCCCACCAGGCTAATGTTGGTCCTCTCATCAGAAACAATGCAAAGAAGGAAAGAATGGGAAAATTTATTCAAAGTGTTAAGAGAAAAATAGTTTCAACCAAAAATACTACATCCATCAAGATTATCCTTCATGTGGTAAGAAAAGATAAAAATATTCTCAGATAAACAAAACTGAGAGAATTTACCAACACCAGGCCAGCTCTTCAAGAAAAACTAAAGACAGACAAATAAAAGAACAAAAAATGACCAAGAGAAAGGCTAACTTAATGGTAGGATAAGTTCTGAAATATCTATAATGATGTTGAATGTTAATGGAGAGAGAGAGAAAGTGAGAAAGCAAGGTGCCAGGTCTAGAACTCAAACCACAGTCAGCCATGGGGAATCTAGTGCCCTTGATCACCATCCCACCTACCGGCCTCCCCCCAAAAAATTTTAAATGAAAAACTTTTCTCCATCCCTGACCTCTTTGCAGTTGGAAAATATTTGTCAGAATTCTTATTTTGTGGAAGAATAGTTATTTGCATAAGTTCAATAATACAAATAGTATCTGTTGCCTTGCATCAGAAATTGAATTCTTATGGGGCTTTCTGCAAATAACTGACCGAACTGAGATTAACCTATTTTTTTTTTTTTTTTGCAAATAAGTCAGAAAAAAAAGGGAATGGAGAGAGAAAAAATGTTTCAGAAGAAAATCGCAGTGTAC